CCCGGCATCTTGGCCCTGTGCAGCTGATCACAGAAGTAGGCATTACCACGATCCCCGCCCCATCTCTAGCCTGGCCCTGCCTGACCCGCTTCTCCAGGGAACAAGTGGTCAGCCGCCTTTCCCCTGGCCTACCCTCCAGAGCCATCTCTGGCCAAGGGTCTGGGTGTAGGTGGTCCTTCCCAGTGAAGTCACCTCCTGCTCCCTGGACTGGAGACCCTGAACCGTATGTACCCCTCGGTCTGCTCTCTGGGTTCCTTGGTCTCACACCTGGTTCTGTCAGATCTTCTGCCTCCTTCCCTGCTGTTCTCCTGGGAAAGAGCCCCAGCACCTTCACCTCCACCGTCACTGCCTTTTCCAGTCGCCAAGCCTTTTCTTTCCCCAACAGTTCTGTCCTTCCATTTTCTGGCTGGCCTTCGGTCAGACTTCAGAGAAGAGGGTACGGTCAGTGGTGTGAGATGTAGGCCCCTGAGTTACTGCCCTCTGTCTCAGCCTCCAGCCCACCTCCAGCATAGACGGTACTGTCCATTCGGGGTGGGAAGTGAGGAGAGAGACAGGGAGGCCTTACCTTGTTCGGGGGGTGGAGAGCCAGAGAAGCACAGAGCCCGCCGAGGCCAGAGAGATGGAGGCTGCCTTCCTCCCTGTCCCTGGGATCGGAGTCCTGGCTCATGAGGGCCAGTACACCCTCACCCGCCCTGGTATCATGATCATGCCTATCATAAATATGACAGCAAACGATTCCTATGTCTAATACCGGCAGTAGCCTATCTGCTCTGAGTAGGATAGCGCTTAGCTCTTTACATATGTGTTGCTACTCAGTGAGACATTTATATGTTACATAGTATCTCCTTTCCCCTGTAGAATTCCTGTTACATTCTCACCGATATGTTGCATCCCATACTTGCGAAACCTAAACCTATACTCATTTCTTCTAAGAAACCAACTCCAGAATTTCTTTTGTCCCCTTGGTACTTGTGCGTCTGGACCGACATTCAATTGACAGTAGTACATGGTGAGTGCCCATCATATGGAGCACGCCCCAGGGCAAGCTGGGCCTCCTGCTTCCACTGAGTGTACCCCACCCTGCTGTGTCCAGCACCAGCCCAGGGGCCCGCAGACAAACACGAGCTCAACACTGCCTGCATGGCTGAGAGCTACGCAGGAGTGGCATGCCCCTCACACAGCCCTAGATTCCCGGACTGGTCTGGGCCTGGAGGTGATCTCATCCACCCTGTGCTGGAGGTGAGACCCAGAGAGGAGAGATTTGCTTGGCAGTACACAGAGAGCTAGTAGCAGAGCCGAGCCCAGAGTTCCTCGGTGCTGTAAAGAGTAAAAACTGGAGAGAGAGGAAGGCAATCTCAGGAGCTCTGGAGGCTCCCCTCACAGGGTCCCCTGGCCCAGCCCCCAGCCCCAGGGCCAACCATCACCTTCCCCTCCTGCCTGCACAGTGCTCCCCGCCCCCCCTGCCAGGCTGCCAAAGGGTCCATTTAGCTGGAGACAGTGGGTGGACGGGTGGGCGGGCCAGCTCCGAGCGCCCAGAGTAATTGCCTATAATAAAAGCTCCCACAGCCTTTGTTCCTGGGAGCGATTGTACGTTGGGTTGTGCCCAGAGGTCTGTGTGCAGTGGGAGCTGGTGCCCAGCGACCTCACCCTTCCTGCTGTCACAGCCGGCCCGGCATGGACTTGTCCTCGCAGGCGTCCCTGTGACCCCGGCCGAGCCTGCTTCTCCTCCCTCCCTGACCTTGTTGCTGCCCGGACTGTGAGCCAGGCCAGGCGGCCTGTGTGCCCGCAGCTCTCCTGCAGAATCAGTGCCCTTAGCTTCAGACGAGCTCTTCCCTGTGTGTCCACATGGCTGTGATATGTGCACAGCCCGAGGGCAGGGATCCTGGCAGGACAGAGGACCCAAGCGTGGAGTTACTGTGGGTGCCTGGGGTTCCTGGGAATGGGTAGAACACCAAAGGGTGACTGGCATCAGGCATCCCAGTGTCCTCTGGGGCCCCCCCACCGCTTACCCTGGCCTAACTTGGCCTAGAAGGCCCACTGCCTGCCGGGGTGTATGTGTGCATATCCCTATGGGAGGGACCCTGCCCGAGAGGTGCAGGCCACCGTTAGAGAAGATCCGAGCCCCGGGGGGCTTCCTTAGTCCCATGGAGAGGCTGCAAGGCTGGGACACCCTCCGCCATGAGTGACCACCCCCTCTCTGTCCCACAGGCTGCAGACAGACCAGGAACCTGGCCCCCTCCCGCAGGGTGGCTCTGCCTTTGATGGCTACTCCAGCGCCCCTGGTGGGACTGAGACCGAGGGCTTCTCTTGCATGGGTAAGTGCTCTGGGTGGCAGAGTTCCTCCTTCCTAGAGGTGGCCTAGAACTTTCCTCACTGTCCACACGGGAGAAGTGACCTAGCCAAAGAGATCCCTCTCTTAAGAGTGAGACATCAACTTGAGTATTGCACTTAGAGTTTTTGCCATGTGTGGCTCAACCCAGGGTCGCCGCCTCAAATCCAGGAGCACTTCAAGGTCAGAATAGGAAGGTTGCCAGTGGGTGCCATGCTTATCCAGTGCCCAGTTGAAGGAGTCACTGAGGCCATGACACAAAAAATAACAGGCTGGGAGATTGCCAGCCAACCCAAGTTCTAAGGAAAGTCCAGATTAACCGTGAAGGTGCTGGGAGCAGGCAGGAAGTCCACAGCCATCAGGCTAACTGCCTGACCACTTTTAACAGCCCACTCCTGTGAATGTCACCTTCTCTGTGGCATCCTGTAGTCCCAACATATCACCTGATATGCATAGTACTAACAGAGTCTCAGGAACCAGGATGTGAGACTTGCCAAGAAGATCCCTGAAACCCGAATACAGTGACACTCCTTCAGGGCAGGGACACTGCCTGTCCCAGGGGCAGCCTCAGGCCCGCCTCCGGCCATAGCAGGCACTCAGTATGAACGAGCAGGTGTCTTGGAATGAATGAATGTGAGTGAATGAGTGAATGTCTTGTGTAATGCAAGTCAGGTCCCAAGTGGGTCAGACTCTGAACTCCTAGCAGGGTGTAGAGGTGTGTGTGTTATTAAAAAAAATACCTGCAGGATGGCTGCAATCCACAGCAGAGGTCCATGAGACTCCACGCTGCAGGGAACTGGCTGTGTCCTTTAGGTCCCAAAGGGAGGCTTGCCCCAGGAAGGGAATGAACTTGTTTTTTGCAAACCTGAGATTGCCCAGGGGGTTTATCTGAATAGCTTCATCCTGGTGCCTTGCTCCAGTGGGCTGAGCTGGGGCCGAGAGCACAGCCTGACCCTGATGTCATTGGACATCGGTGGTGTGCCACCCCTGGCTTCTTTGTCCCCTGCAGGGCAGGTGGTTGGGTGTCCCTCTTGGCTGGGAGCTGGACCCTTTTGAGCCCTCTGCTGGCCTGGTCTCCAGCAGTGGTCTCGGAGCCACTGTGACCCAGAAAACAGAGCAGCTGCACCAGTCTTCCATGGCAAGCCTTGCAGGGGACAGCTTTTGGGTGGAGACTTTGTAGCAAGCCATCCTCTCCCACAGTATGTATACACGCAGGGGAATCAGGGCATGGCAAGGGACGAAAGGAAACCAAATTTCTCTGGCACCGAACAGCCAGCAGAATTAGAATGTGGTGACCAGGAAACTATGTGGAGCTCTATTTTTGCATCTGCAGTTTTGTCAATGTAACGGCTTCCTTATGCGTATGCCCCATTGTCAGAGCCTGACGAGTGAGCTCCGCAGGCCCGGCCCTCGTTCATGGCAACTAGCCGATGAGCCCGTGAGAGGACTTTTACTTTATTATTTATTTTTTTGCCTTTTTTAAAATTAAGGTATCATTGATATACAATATTATGAAGGTTTCACATGAGCAACATTGTGATTAGAACATTCACCCATATTATTAAGTCCCCCCCACACCCCACTGCAGTCACTGTCCATCAGCGTAGTAAGATGCTATAGAGTCACTACTTGTCTTCTCTGTGCTGTACTGCCTCCCCCGGGAGCCCCCTATATTATGTTTGCTAATCATAATGCCCCTCAATCCCCTGCTCCCTTCCTCCCCACCCGCCCTCCCCATCCCTCCTCTTTGGTAACTGCTAGTCCCTTCTTGGAGTCTCTGAGTCTGCTGCTGTTTTGTTCCTTCAGTTTTGCTTCATTGTTATACTCCACAAATGAGGGAAATCATTTGGTACTTGTCTTTCTCCACCTGGCTTATTTCACTGAGCATAATACCCTCCAGCTCCATCCATGTTGTTGCAAATGGTAGGATTTGTTTTCTTCTTATGGCTGAATAACATTCCACTGTTTATATGCACCACAGCTTCTTTATCCATTCATCTACTGATGGACACTTAGGTTGCTTCCATTTCTTGACTATTGTAAATAGTGCTGCGATAAACATAGGGGTGCATGTGGAGGACTTTTACTTTAACGTCTGCTGCAGTCTGGCATTAAGAATCCCCTGGGCTGGGAGACCACCCTCACCAGCTGGTTCTGAAAGTGTCTGATGGATGAGAGGTTGGGTTACTGTGTGGGGCAGAGTAACCTTCATCCAGGCCAGTGAACCTTTAGAGGTGGGCTTTACAGAGAAAAGCTAGAAACACCTGCTACTTGCAAGGTTCCCCAGGAAGGGGAGCCAGGTTCAGTGGCTGCCTCTGCTCCGGGACTAGCTAGTTGTCATGGCGATCCATCTTGGCCGAGGATACACTCTTGACAGGTTGGATGGGGGAGAGATTTGGGATCTGCCTGTGCTTTGTAGGGGAGTCTGCCCTCTGAATCTGAAGAGACCAGAGGAAAGGCAGAAAAGAGGCAATGGAAGGCTTCCCTTTTCTACCCTTTTATAATTCATTCATTATTCCTTTCATTTAAATCAACAGACTATCACTAAGTGATTGTCTTGGGCCAAACACTGTGTGGGTGTGAGGTGAAGAATGAGTAAGACTTTGACCCACTTTCAAGGAGTTTGCTGTTTAGGATTTCACTCTGGTGAGCCCTTCCTGAGAATCTGTTGGTCCCGAAGGCCCACCAGCTCCTTATAGGAGCCGGCAAGGCCGCCCAGTCCGTCCTGCCCCCGCGCACAAAGCCCTGCCCCACGAGGAGGGCGTGAGCTCAGCCCCCTGACTTTGTGGCAGGAGACTTGGGCGCCTTGGAAAGTACGGTTTCATGTATCGGTATCAGCAGAGTTACTTCACAGTTATTGATCCTGGTACTTCCTTGTCGATCTGTAGGTGACAAGGGGTGGGTCGGCTTGATCTCATGACCCAGACACCCTCCCTTCTTGCCTGGGAATGCACCTTTCCCCGTTACTGAGCCTGTGCTTGCTGGTCAGTGTTTGGTGCAATGGTGGCCCGAGGGAGGAAGGAGGCCGTGCTCAGTGGCTGCGGGGCTCATTTAGCCTCTGGGGGCCTGTTTCTTGCTCTGCCAGCTGAGAGGGAGCAACCAGCCTTTCCGTGCTCTCTTCCCACTACGGTCCTGCCTGGCATCCAGGCGCCTAGTGGGGAGGGCGGTCCTTGGCGGGAGCAGTAAGGACCGAAGACCGTCCTCAGCGCTGCAGCACCTTCTTACTTTGCCCGGGAAGAGAGTCCAGGTGAGGCTGAGCACTGTTGGAAGAGTAGGAAGAGAACATCCTGGGATGACTCGCCACCAAGCAGGGGCGCTGGGGCCGGCCCTCGCGTGTCCAGAAGGCTGTGCACAATCAGCTGCTCCCCGGGCCCCGCACTGCGGCGTGCGTGGAAGCCCTGACCCTCCCTCTGCTCACCTGGCTGTGCTGGTGAGAGCCCCGTGCAGCTCCCGTCTGCTGACACTCCCCGTGGCTGCTGTCAGCACAAAGCAGGGCAGAGGCCACCATCAGATCTCAATCTGGAAAGCCGAGGGAAGCCAGGGCTGATGTTTCTATGTGCCCACATGTGTTGAGGCCACGTGCAAGAGGACTGGGGAAGGTTGCCCCGAGGTTGACACAGATTGCTTAATTACTTCCACTTTGTGGCATGTTTGAATGTGAGCTCAGTGGAGACATAATGAAAGGATCCACTCTCGTCATGGCATGTGTCACTGGGGAACCAGCCAGAGCCTCCTCCCTGCCTGCCTCTGCACGAGGTCGGTACTCACAGAGCGGGAGGGGCAGCATGGGGCCTGGCGTCTCACTGGGGCTGTTTGCTCTTCTCCTTGTTGAACTGGCTCCATCTTTAAGCCACTGTTGGCTTCTCACATCTTGTGGATTTGGGAGTGTGGACAGAGTCCCCCTCTGAGAGAACTTGCGGACCTGGCATGCCCTCAGCCAGGGCAGCAGGGGGCCCTTAGGTGGTTCCAGCACAGGGTATAAGTGCACCATGCTGTTCTGGGAACTTCACGCCAGAGCCAAATATCCCAGGGCTAAGGATGACTTGGGATCAAAGAACATTGGAAGTCAAAGCTCAGTGAACTTTACGTGTCATCCAAATATGGTCTCATTTTTCAATGGGGAGGGATGAGGCTCAGAGTCAGGGAATAATGACTTGCTCAAGATTTCACGCCTAGTTAGCAAGTGAACTGAAACCAGGACCACTGCCTGCTGACTCCCCAAACACTAAAATGACCAACGGCAATGACGACCACCATTCACTTAACATTTACTATGTGCAGGGCACCATGCTAGTTGCTTTGCATAAAGCTCTTTCTAAGTACCTCCCACTCTTTGTAGGTGGTACAGTTGTTCTGTGTTTTAGATGAGGAATCTCCAGCTCACAGAGCTTGTAGAAAATCACTTGTCTGAGGACATACAGATGGGGTCTACACCAGGGTTTAAATCCGGCCTTGTCAAACAGTCATCGTCTTTTTGCGTCACTCCCCTGCCTTCCCATCGGCTGCCAGGACTCGCTGTGTTAATTGCACACTGTTCAAGCTCAACTCAGTCTCCACCACCCTCCACCGAGTGGTGGGGAAGGAAATGGGGTCAGTGAGCCACAGTCCCTGCTGACATCCCCCTCAACTCTAGCAAGCCCTAGGCCGTCACTGGCTTCTCTGTCATCCCAAAACTCTGTCATTTCACTCGGGACTCATGCTGCTGTGTTCCCTACCCTCTGGGGACGTGCAGGCTGAGCCGAGCCTGATGTTCCAGCCGTCCATGGAGAGAAGACGTGCAGACACTTGACTAGAGAACACTGACCAGGTTTAGCGGCAGAAGTTGTCAGCTACGTTCTCGGGGTTGAGGCGGGTCAGTGCCGCTGTGGGGCAGAGGATGCCTGAGTGTGTGGGTTGGTCTCTGGGCGCCTGTTTGGATGAGAAGAGTGACCACTGTCTGGGACCAAGTAGACTTCCAGGAGACGGGATGGAAGGTAACACCGAGCA